CCCCAAAACCCCAAAACCCCAAAACCCCACAGAGGAAATCAGGTATTGAAGGGTATGATTATGAGTGAGATTTTATCACAGATTTTAATCTCAGAGACCAATGTTGTAGGGGAATCTGATAGAGCGTTTCTTATAGAGATTATACTGTGATTTAGTGAAGCCGGGGGTTCTTATGGAGAGCTTATTGCGCTTTTGATGTCTTCGTTGAGGATTTTGATTATTTTTGAATATTCATGCTTTGTGAGCTCATTTAGAAAGTTTTCAATCCTAAAAGAGTTGAGAGTAAACTTCTTATCCTCTGTTTCCCAGATTCCTCTTTGGCGAAGTACTTCAGCGATGATGTATTTTATCATACGGTCAGATTTTATTAGAGATCTTTTGTCGCTTCGGATCTCATTGCTGTTATAAAAGTTCTTTAGAGTATCTCCGATGCGAGTAATGAGGCTTTTCAGGGTTTTCATAGAGTGGTCTTGGTTTGATAAATTATTGGTTAGGATTTTCTTGATGATTGGGTAAGATATGGAGGAATAGATATCTATTGATTTTTGAAGCTTATGTCCTTTCAAAGTGAAAACTTTCTTAGTAGCTTTAAGACCTTCTATTATATGATCTAGTTTTTTAAAGTTGAAGGTGATATTGTTACTTTCAGCCATCTTCTCTTTAGAATCACCAAGGCTGGTGTCAATCCAGAACCTCAAAATTTTACCTGAAGTAATACCTTTTTCAAACAAGTAGTTTCTCACATAAATAAAATAGGATTCTCTCTCACTTTCCTCCATCTTGATTTTATGATCTTTTTCAAACTTATCCAGATGCTGAGAGGTTAAGTTATCTAAAGCATTTATGTACTTGATGGCTTCATTTTTGTCAGGATTCTTAAAAAATTTTGGAAATTTCTCCAGTAATTCTCTAAGAGATTCTTTGTATTTTTTCACATTATGAATCTTGCTTCTGATTGCTTCTAGTTCTATAGATTTAGTTGGCGTAGTGCTTCAACCACTATCTTTAGTGCTCGAGGAGATAAAACTCTTTTTCTCTTCATCAATAGTCAACTTATCATTATTATAACTCTTCAAAGATTCACTTTGTTTTAGATTTTTAAGATCTTCAGTGAATTTCAAGCATGGTTTTTGAGAAATATTTCATCTTCCTATGAGAGCAAAGGTGAGGGTTGGGAGAACTTATTAAAAAAACTAGATCTACACCGTGCCATTAGGGGACAATATAAATCAAACCAACCCTATTTTCCCGACTCGATTTTACCTGATTCTTCTTTGATTAAAGATATAACTTCTTTTGTGAAAAAGAATCGGTCATCTGAATATAATCTTATCTTCAAATTTTGAGAAAAACTTAATCCTATTTTTAACATCAAAGTTTGCATTCAAGTAATAATCTTGACCTTCTCATTTAGAAGGGCTTTATGAGCTATTAGACTTGTCTTTGAAGCATCCCCATATGAAACCGGTAAATTCTTGGAGATTTCAGAGGGGTTTTCTTCTATCCTACTTTGAATTTTCCTCAAAAAGTAGGAAGATCAACTGAAATAAAGGATGATCTCAATATTTTTCTCTGTTGCTATAAAATATGGAATAATTCTGACAAATGAAAGTACCAATAGTGCTACAATTTATGAAATAGTTTTATGATTATAGATATGAATGTTTCATAATCTTTAGTAAGACGAAAAATATTTGCCTTCAAGAAAAATAGAGATGAAAATTTAGACACATGGAGGTTTATAAGAGAGCGCTTATAATTGTCAAGGATCTAACCTTACGCTTCTTTCGCCGAAATGAATTATTAAAATATCTAAAATAGTATTTTATGTGAATAGAATTTTTCAAAGACTATAGAAACCCAAAAACAGTATTTAAAATATAAATACCAATGCTTCATTCTGAGATTAAACATTCCATAGCGTCATTTATGACTTTATCGGGTTCGCAAGGATCATCTTGGCTGGTATGAAGGTAATTTGGCTCACTACCAATATCAGCAGGGATCTCTTCTATTATTGCTTGGCTTGATCTTATAGCCTCTTCCTTCTCTTCTTTGGTAGTCTTAAATAAAATGTGATATTACAACCAGAATCGAACCAGAATCTATCAATGACGATCATCTGCAGCTCCAAGAATCCCCAAAATTTTCAAAAGCACTATAGTATAGATTCTCAAAAAATTTGGCTGAAGTAGAATGACATATGGTTACTTTAATTACTCAAAGTCCAAAAGTGATACAAAATCCCCCAGATCCTGATAACTAATATTTTGAAGAGTCATACAGCCTCTTTCACACCAATCACAAGCTTTGGTGAAGAAGTTTTGAAGTTCTCATTCGTGCTGCTTTTATTAATATTGTTGATAAATTCGATGGTGAACTTTAAAATGAGGTTTTATGCAGAAATTAATAATTTATGAAAAATCGGAATTTTGGAAAATTTATAATAAGTTTGAAAATTATTTTTCTATTTTTATCCGAATTCGGTGTTTATTTATGATTTTTTCTCACTTTATTATATAAAAATATGATACAAGTTGCAAAGGTGATTAAGAAGATAACGGTTATTCGAAAATAGATGTAGAAAATTGGGCTATTCTTAAAATTTTCTGAAAGTTCTTGGAAGTGATGTACACTATTTTTTATGGGTTTATGGATGATATGCTCTTTGTTTAGAGATCTGAATAAATTGTATCTCAAACACAAGACTGATTGTATTTTTATGACCAAAAATAGTGTGATCAAAATTATGAATAAAAAGTGAAACAATCTTTTTACCCCCTCAAAACCTCCAAACCCCCTCCAAAAACCTTCTCCTATCCTCTAATTCTCCAATCTTCTAAATTCTCTTATAATTCCCAAACCCTAAAATTTGACTAAAATCCCTAAAATCTAAGCTTCTCCTCCCACAAAATCCCTTCACAAGTCCTCCCAGCCACTAACCTCATCTATCTTCTCCAGTTCCTTCTCTGTATAAACTGCGTTGACTTTAAACCAGTTTTCTCAGTCTAGAATCATGACATCTGACCTGAAATCGTTGAGCTTGGACATCTTTGAACTTATTTATTATATTTTTATTTGCTATAGAACATTTGATCTGGGGTTTTGGGGTTTTGGGGTTTTGGGG